TGAGGCTTAAACCTGATGAATTAGGCTATTTGGTGAATTAGGTTATGAAATGAAGCTAATCACAGCATACCTCTTTGCCGGCATGACGTAATGCTTTCAGCTTATCGTAAAAATGCTTCTTGCTGACTAGTTGTTCACCCTCCAGGCGCGTTATAAAATCGCATATTTTCAATTTGCCAAAAAATATCGAAGATTCTTCGATGCGGAGTACCAACATTGTTTTAGTCAGTGAAACACCTGCCTAGAAAATTGTTCATTTCTCCAAAAAAACAAAAAATCTCTCACTATTATGAAATGAAATAACTGTGGATGAAATACTGGGTTACAGAAATTACGACTCATATATACATGAGAATGCAGTTTGTGTTTCATCCCTTAGCTTTAACCATAAAAATAGAGCTCTGCGTACGGTTTGAAGCAAATCATCATACCTAAGAAAAGTTTGTATTAATACGAGACATGGTCAGGAAAGGAAGAAGTTGTAACAATTATAAGAAACCAAAAAATCGAAAAGAAACTAAAAATTCACAACAATTATCGACAATTTAGCCTTTTACTTGCTGTGCGTAAAATGTACTTATGACTAATTTGTAAGACAGAATGGCTTAAATGAGATGAATCACCTTATCTTGAGAATCGAATCGTGCTTGTATTTCGAGTTCATTTACCAGATCATCCGGTAACTGGCAAGGAAATCCGAGCTTCGGGGCAAAATCCGTATGCGCCGCTGCTGGTCTGAAGAAAAATAATTTGCGTTTCGGGCGCAGTATGAAATATTTGACATTTCGGATTTGATTCTGCACCAGTAAATTATGATAAAAATCCGCGCCTATTCTTATAATCTATACAGTACAATTCCAAAAATGTCATTGTAAAAGTTAGAAGTTAAAATCTTCGCCTTATTCGCTCTTTGTGAGAGGTGGAGGCACTTCGAAACTGCTACGAACAATTGCAAGTATCAACAACAATTACTTACTGGCAAGGTTATCAATAGTTCTCTCTTTCGAAGGTTGCTTACAAAGCAAGCTGATGGCAAATTTGAATATCCCACATGCTGCTGTGTAAAAAGTCGAGGATTCGATTCCACTAGTGATAAATTGACTCCTCCATGCTTCATCCATTCGTTTCGATGGTAAACTGATACTGGTACGTGTCAAAAAGTCAAGCCCAGCTTGCTCGCAAGCATTTTCGAAAGAGGGAACCATCGACAGATTTGGAAGCGAGAGATTGCTGCTGGCGTTAGCTACCAATCGAGCGATTTCCGATTGGCTCTGCTTCTCACTAAGAGCGAATGCGGAAGGGGTTTTTTGAATTGTGACTTCTGTGACCACTCACTAAATTATGAAAAA